TGAAATGCCCATCAAAAAATATATGTTGGCAAGAATTTTGTTGGTAATTTCAAACAAAAAAATTCCTGGAATTTTCTTCGGATCACACCTAAAAATCAAGAAAATTTTGGACGGAAATAGCAGAGTCGTTTTTCTGTGAGAAATATATTTGTTTGAGTCAATTTTGTAACGTTGTTATGGCTAATAGGACATTTCGTCAACGATTTTTTGTCCGCGCACCTGTTTTTTCCAGTAATTTACGTCCACGCATTTTTTCGGCACGGGAGTTTTGGTCCTCGTGCCAGTTTAGACCCAAAGTTAATTGGCCCACATGTAAATACAAACGACGATTGCTCTCGACGTTTTTGGATGAAAATGAATAATGTCTTGGAAGAATGAGGGTTTACTTGTTTTTTTGTTTTGTCTGTTTGGTCCAATGGAGAATAATATATAGTTGAGAGTTTTGGTAAAAATGGGGGAGGGTCAATTCCATGAGACAAAATTCACTGAAACTCTCTACACCTCTTTGGTGTAACAGGACTTAATTATCTTTTAAGAAATTCCCACCTTCTTGTACCTGAACAGGATAAAACTCTATATTTGCCTCAGCTAAAGGCTCTTAGATTTTTCCTGTGTACGATAAGTATCTAGATTTATTTTGCGAGGAAACATCTGTACTTTTAAAGGATGTCTGTCATTCTTGATACGTTCAATTTCGTATAATACTGTGCAATACCTCTGTTGTGAAATAGTTGCTTCAGGCGCCGCCACACGGCGGGCGGGCGGCCACCGCGCATTGGCGCCTACAAACCTAAGTGGATACTTCAAGCATTGTGCAATACGTGAAGTATCCACTTAGGTTTGTAGGCGCCAGTGATCCTCTCGCGCTGGCAGCACGCTGCTCCGCTCTGTTAGGCTTTATATTATTCATAATCTCAAAGTCAGCGTTTTTCAACTCATGATTTTGAAATGTTTGCACACTCTGCATTGATTATTCTCATTTAAATTGATGGGAAAAAAATATGTATCAATTTATCAAAGAAGAATAATAATATAATGTGTGCTTTTTAAATATTGGTGGTTCCGTGTCAAATTTAATGATTTCTAAAGCACTTTAATTTTTTCTTTTACATTTTGTGCTTTTATTGTGCTGCAGCGAGGAGTGCGCGCAACCAAACGGTCAAATTTTGACGTATTTGACTCTAAAAGATCGATGTACAAATGGGTTAAAACTAAAGATTGCGTGCTCTTTTTTTTTTTCCTCTTTTATTCAATTTTTCAGTTTCTGTCGGCACAACTGCGGCTCATTGAGATTAGTGTCGCTTGAAAAAGGTTTTACAAATATTTGTCACGTTTTAAAAATATAAATGTTTTCAAAATGAAGTAATAATTTCGTAAAGAAAAAATTAAAAAAATAAAATAAAGTACCCATACATATATAAGGTATATTGTACATCGAATATTTTAAGGATAGAAATAAAACCAAATATTCACCAATGACAATTTAAAAAGATGATTCAAAAGGAGAAAGTAATAACATTTCATTTAGAAAATGAGCAACCATAACAACACCTCCTTCTCTCTCAATGTCTAATTTCTATATTGTCAATATTATTTTACATACCGACTAAAATATAACGCTTGGACCAAGTCACCGTTGCTTATTTTACGTGTGGGCGTAAACTACTCTGGACAAAAAAGGTGCGCGGACAAGAAATCGTCCAAAATGACAAAATGTCCTGAAACCGAAATGCCCATCAACAAATGATATGTTGGCAAGAATTTTGTTGATAATTTCAAACAAAAAATTTCATGGACTTTTCTTTCGATCACACCTAAAAATCACGAAAATTTTGGACGGAAATGGCAGAGTCGTTTTTCTGTGAGAAATATATTTGTTTGAGTTAATTTTGTAACGTTGGTATGGGGCTACGTTCTTTCGTCCAGGGAAAGAAGATACATGTGACTAAATTGGCAACAGGGTAGGACTGAGTGACAGCTATATTTTCCTCGAAACTTGCCGGATTGTAAATTTCCGGCTGAAAATTTTTGAAAATAATCATGCAAACAGATTTTTCTAGTTCCATTAAGCTCTTCCAAATTTCTTCATGTGCAGTTTTGTTGTTAGGCATAACGTTTCTTCGGATCTGAGTGTTTCCTTGGAAATTTTAAAACTACCTAGTGCGACACACGCACGGAAAAAGAAAAGAAAAAAAAACTCATCAATCCATTCCATAGTGCAAGGGCGCATATGCAACCTCATGTTTCGAAAAATATGGCTAGCATCGATTCGTAGAAAAAGGCCGTTCAGGGAAAATTAGTTCCAATTGTTTAAGCACTGTTTTTCATTCTTGTAAAAGACCATATGGTGATATAGCTAGACTCTCGATTGATTTTTCTCGGTTACTGGGAATAAAAAAAAATAATAATACAATGAAAAGTTATTTCCAGGATATTGTAAGAAAAACCTCCAGGCTGACCTACGTAAGTACTTCAGACTGTAAAAAAGTAGAGATGAACATGGAACAAAAATGTTCAATTTTCTCTCCTCTCACGTTTTTCCGGATCGAACTTTTTTCCAGAGGAGCTGATTTTTGGTCAAAACTCTATCTATCTGCCAAGTTGAAAAGTATGCGGGACCAAAAAATTAACCCTGGTAAAAGTGAGATATTGTGACGTCACTCTGATGTCATAAACACATTTTACTATGCATTTCTTAAAGCAGTGCGATGTCACTATGATGCCCGCTGAACGCTCTGTCATGTCAGTGATATCATATTGACGTCTGAATGTTCAGAGTGATGTCGGAGTGGCTTTACAAGGATTTGTTCCATACATTGTAATGTTCCAATGACGAGGTCATTATGTTCCACTTTTACTAGGGAAAGACTAAATGGACTGCATTTTGCAATTTGGAACTATAAATTCTAGCCCGGTTTAAAAACAACATATGTGCCATTAGTTTCCCTATGCACATGAGTGTTTTTTCAGATGAGCCAGAATTCATATAGTTCCAAATTGCAAAATGCGGTCCAAATAGTCCCATGGATCCACTCACTTATATATCCTTTTCGAAGATCTGAATAAGGGTTTGAGAGTTTTTGGTGAGCAAACTCGAAAAAAAAGCCCGGAACCCCGATAGCCTTTGTCACACTATCAAAACTAAACATCAAAATATCAAGGTCAGATGTTGTGATTGGCTTCTTCGATGATTTGGACCAATCACAACACTTGACCGTGACATTTTGATAGCGTGACACAAGCTAGAGTATGAGACGACTCTTGCCGAAGCCAATCGCTGTAAGCACCATGAAATCGACGTTCATCCAGAAGACTATATGAGACTATATCTGTAACAATAGCGGATGTGAAAAATTACCTTTGCGAATCACATTCAAAAAACTATTTTGGCATCGAGAAAATTTTGAGAAAATACTTGAAATGTGATCTTCGAGATCTGTACATTATGCCAGAGATGTCAAACATATTAAATTTTTGTGTGAACAAAACAGTTTTTTAAGTGTGTTTTGAAATGGTAATTTTTCACATCCGCTATTGTTACAGATAAGTCCTCATATACGAGGATTTTTGTTTGAGCAGACCCCAATTAAAACGCGTGGTTTTGATCTGCTCGCCAGGGCCGGTGTGGACCTGACAACTAAGTCGCATACAAAGGGCCAAGTTGGGCAAGCGCTAATAGGTCAGTTGCGCTGGTCATAGAATTATGCTTTGATGCGTATATTTTTGTTCAGTCAAATCAGCCTGTAATAATTGGACTACATTTTGCAATGGGTCAATCGCGCTGGTCACAAAATCGTATTTTGATGCTTGATTTTTGTAGATTAGCTGAAAATAATTAGATCTGTCCAAACGACAACTTTCTACGTTCGATATTAATCGAGATATCGCGCTTTGAAAAATTTGGTTTATGACGTCATCCACCACAGTAATGACACCCTCGGTTTCTTCAACCTGATTGTTTTCATTTAAATTTCATGTTGAGATACCAGTGCAAATGTGTGTCTTCTTGCCAAATGAAAGCGAGGTGGAAGAAACCAAGGGCGTCTCGACCTCGGTGAATGACGTCACTATACGAATTTTTCAAAGCGCGATATATGGAGTAATATTGAACGTAGAGAGTTGCTGTTTGGACGGATCTTATTATTTGTAGCTTATCCACATGAATCAAACATCAAGACAGGATTCTGGGACCAGCGCAACTGGGACCCATTCATTCCCCTCACTTCCCCTGGTCTGGAATCTTGGCTGTAGCGCATGTTCGTAAAAAAAGACAGAACCCGTATGTCATATTCACTTCTCTCCTGATTCTTCAAATTAACCGCCATAAACTGTCATATGACGTGGTATAGACACATTCATACGAACCGATTGCGATTCAAAGCACGGAACGTTCATACAATGGACCACCAGATTAGGCACAAATTTCAGCATTCAGATACAGGTTTCTTAACCAAAATTTCACGTAAAACACGATGCACACAACGAAATTCAACGAAATGAACTCCTCACGAAGATATTTAATTATTCTTAATGCGTGAATTCAAACCACCCGCTTATGAAAACTCAATGCTTTCTAAGTGATTCACATCGCGCGCTAAACGTTTATCATGACAGTCTCTGCGGTATAAAAATCTGGCAACCTCAATATTGACGCTTTGGCTCAGCTACAGCAAATTTCTCATAGTTTGAACAACACATGATGGGAAATGACATTACTCGATTGAGAAGCTTGTTGAAACCGGTGTAGTGCGCGATGTGACTCACGGAGACCTTTGAGTTTCTTGTCAGCAGGCAGTTCAAATTCCTCGTGACCAGTGTGAAATAAAAACGTAAATATCTTCGTTAGGAGTTGGTTTCAGTCATTTTGTTGTGCGAATCGTGTTCTGCGTGAAATTTTGGTTAAGAAACATGTATCAGAATGCTTCAATTCGTACCTTGTCTGGTGGTCCGTTTACAAAATCGCCTCTGTATATGAGAATGATGGGTGGTGCACTTTCCAGGGTAAGCATCCGAGCTTCGCCGAGTTCACGAAGATACATAACAAGAACTACGCTTCGGAGGGGGAGAGGGCGATGAGATTGGACGTGTACCAGTCCAACTTGAAGAAAATCGATGGGCTTAACGCTAAAAAGTTGCACGGAGTCGATTATGGTGCCACCCGCTTCACTGATCAAACACGTAAGTTTTACATAATAAAACAAGAAAGCAAATCCAACATGAATATGTTGAAAAAACGTGCCAAGTAACTGAAATGTTGGACACATACACTGAGAAAAAACTATGGTTATAATTACCATATTAGTGGTGTTCAATATGCACTCTTAACTAGTAGTGGCCAAAACCAATAATAGTGATATTTTTGCTTTTTTTTTTGTTTATTTGCCATCAAATAACGTTATTACAGAAGTAAAAATTTACAACAAAAGAAAGTAGAAATATCACTAGAGAAAAAATAAATATAAATACAAAATGGTTAATCAATTATTGGGTGGCTACCGGAATCACCGTTAGGCATCCCTGGTAAAAATTGGCGATAGGAGCTGCGTTTCAAAATACCATAGGAATTCTTATAGCCGACTGAAGAGGGCGATAAAAAATCATATGGCTGGCTGTAGAAATTGGAAAAAATCATACGGCCGAGCCACACGAAGCGATAAAAAATTATACAGCCGGGCTATAGTTCCTATCGCCAGGTTTTACACTTTATCGCCTGGCTGTTGCTTTTTCGCCATCGGCTATAAAAGGCTATAAGAAATTGTGTAGAAATTCTTGTGCTTTGTAAATTATTAAGTTTGTACGGAATCACCTTAATATTTACGAAACGGACATTATACTTTCCTTTACTACATATTTTTTTTTCATAAATTAAAATGAGAATAATCCATACAGAGTGTGCAAACATTTCAAAGTCATGAGTTGAAAAACGCTGACTCCGCGAGATTAAATATTAGAGCCTAACTCAAAGCGGAGCGGCGGCGCACTGGCGCCTACAAACCTAACAGGGATACTTTACGCATTGCGCAATGCGTGAAGTATCCCTGTTAGGTTTGTAGGCGCCAATGCGCCGCGTCGTACCGCGGTGCTTGAAGCAACTATTTTACACCAGAGGTTTTGCACAGTATCATACGAAACTGAAGGCGCTCCAACATATTAAAGAGTACAGAGCTTTCCTCACAAATTAAATCAAGATACTACGGCCCAAAAAGAGAGCAGTATTCCAAAAACTCACTAAGTCCTAGCATCCGTAATTAGTAACGTTTAGCATACACTTTATCGCCAGGCTGTTGCTTAATCGCCATCGGCTATAAAAGGCTATAAGAAATTGTGTTGCCGGCTATAGAAGCTATTGGAAATCTTCCAGCCGGCTGTAGTTCTATGGTATTTTGGAACACAGATTCTACTGCCAATTTTTACCAGGGATGAAATCAGCGGCAGTGATATTTTTACTGGATCAATCGTAATTTTACGAGTGTGCGGTAGTGAAATTACCATTTAATGATAAAGATATCTCTATTTTTGGTTATGGCAACTACGAATCAAGAGTTCATATTGAATACCACTAATATAGTAATTATAACCATAATTTTTTCTCAATGTACTATTTTCAGTAGCAGAAGCGCCATAATTGCGTTTAGGCACTCGTGTTGTCGCACTTCTCAAACTTGTCTAATTTTTTACGTAAACTTATCGAACAAAACCACCTGAAAATTTTACTGAATGCTTGTTTCGTCATCAAAATTAATGCCTGAAGTCTTCATGAAAGTATGTACGAAAGCTGTGATGAAAAAATTAAAACGATTGCGAGCCGGCAACACACAGGATCCCAAGTAGCATGCAGATATCACGATGAGTTGCAATTTGATGGGAGAACGTGTCGTGATGTAACCGACGTCGATGTATTGCAATATTATCGGATGAAAAATTGCGATTTCATCGCATAAATTTGCTATAAAATCGCGATTTTATCGACGGCGATTTATCGCAATATTATCGAACAAAAAATCTTGATAAATTGTGATAAAATTTCGATTCTATCGAACGCAAATTCATAGAGATAAAATTGCGACAACATCGAGGATAATTGCTCAGATGATCACTTTCCGGCCATATTATCACAAGTGCCACGCGACGTTTAAAAATTCCCGCCGCCATTTTATTTTTTTACAGAGAAATTGTTGGTTGAATCTGTTTGAAAATTTCCCTGAAATTTATCGGCAACCCAAAGAAAATTCAGTGAAGTTTTCGGACAGCTTCGTTGAAAAATTTCTCTGTAAAAAAATGAAATGGCGGCGGAAATTTTGAAACGTCACGTGGCGATTTTGATACTTTGACCGGAAGGTTACGAAATATTGATGATCCTACCAATTTCATCGCCAAAAAATCGTAAAAAAATCACAACTTGATTTAAATATATGGCGATTATTTCGTTGAAAAGTGCTACTAAGGCTAAGCAAGAATGGTGCTTGTGACTTCTTGGCTGGAGGGCGGAGATATGTTGTTTCTAAAACGAACCAGACAAAGCAGTCATTTATTATGAAATTTAGTTCCTTTGGCCGTGTATTACGAGGGTCGTCCAGAGAGTAAGTTTACCCGTTCAATATCTCCCAAACTAAGCTAGGTAGAAAAAGTGTAGAAATTGTTAAAAAGTCATTACTCTGGGCTCTCTAACGCGCTATATATTTTTAAATTTGGCTCGATAAAACTCTAGAAAAAAGGGTTTTTCTGAACTCACCTCCTCTCCGCACGGGTCCAAAATTTTACGGAGCTTCGTGGGTACAGAAAAACCCACTTTTCTAAAGTTTTATCAAGCCAAATTTAAAAATCTATAGCGCGTTAAAAAGCTCAGAGTAGTGGCTTTTTAACGCTTTTCGCAGATTTTCTCTACAGGTAAACTTACTTTCTGGACAACCCTCTTACTTACCTCATTATTTTTATTTCTGCCCCATTCAGAGGATGAATTCTTGCGCAGTCATACAGGTTTGAGGATAGACCCGAAATATAAAGCAAAAAACAGCCTATTGGGGTTAAATTTGGCCATTGGCGGCAAGAAATCTACGATGAAGAAAAGGACGAAGAAGGGAAATGCGGCGAGTCAGAATCTTCAAGAAATCTCGGACGGCTACTTTGACTGGCGAGAAATCAGTGTCGCCTACCCCTCCATCGATGATCAGGTCGTAAACACTCCTCATGACCGTGTACTTGGCGAAGGCAAATAGTCGAATCAGGCATTTTGTCAAATGCCTCGACGAATTGTCAAACATTCTTACTTACATTGAAATTTTGATTTTTTATCCTAATGTTAGACAAAATAATTCGTTGCCCATGTAAGAAAGAATTCTCCGTAAAAATATGCAGCATAAAACAGTATTTTAAACGGGTTTATGATCCTGAGTGCATATTTATCATGAAATTTTCAGCACGTCATAAAATATAGAATTTTTTAAATTTTAACATTTAAATGTATCAAAGGCATGAAAAAAGGAGAGTTCGCGGATTTGGAGAGTTATTTTTCCCATAATATTGAAAATCCGTGAACTTCTCGCCATAATTTTATAGAATTCCGTGAACTGGCAAAATATGCCTTACCGGCCTAGGCATTTGATAAAATTCCTGATTTGACTCATTGTTTTCGACATATCGACGGTGAAACCACCAAACCACGTATCTCGGTTTGCGACGTCGCAGACTTCCTGTCATACTTTATTTTTTAAATGAAAAACTACTTAACATCCAGTCTTGAAAATTTCTGTGATTTTTCCTCTTTGTGCGGAGAAAATTCCGTGAAAATTTCAAGGAATGATATTGATTTGGTCTACTTCAAAAAAATAAAATGTGAGCGTAGATTTTTAAACACCGCAAACGAGATACGTGGTTTGGTAGTTTCACCGTCGATATATAATAACACGAAAAGGAGCATTCAGGAATTACGTAACGCTCTAGGGGATAGAGATGTGGGTTTATACCTGCGAAACGCTGCGTTACGCGGAAGGTCAGAGCCAACTTTTCGTGACCCTCTATTGATGAAAAACACGAGCACTCTTAAGAAAGTTCGCGCGTGAAATACTTGTATCCTTCTCACCCTCTCGCCTCTCGACCGTATTTCGCCGCTTCCCTCACGAAAGAACGTAACTCCCTTTCAATGTTGCCAAATTTCTCCTCGTAAATTTCATTTTTACCAGGATAATCTCAGTAATTTCTAAGAGAAAATTTCCTCGATTTTTTTCCTGACCTCATACAAAAATCAGAAACGTTTTGGACGAAAATTGCATGGATGTATTCTCGTAAAAAATGAATTCTTCGATTCAATTTTACAACCTTAAAATGCAGTTACGACCCTTGTTTCGGAAACGACAATTTGTTACACTATCGCTAAAAATATACTTCAAATTTTATCCAGGTTTATATTCAACCATTTTCCACAATTTTTGTGATCCATCTGGGAGAAGTCTGACAAGCGTTACGTATTCATTAAAGGAGGGTCGAGTTTGCATTATGAAGCGTTACAAGGGATGAGGAGGGTTCAAAAGTCCGAAAGAGTGCGTTACGTTATTCATGAAAGCTCCCAAAGTGGTAAATTTACACCAGCAATTTTGAGAACATCGTACCTGCGCATTGTAATCCCGGATAAATACATCTTTCTTCAAAACTACAGACTGGGTTTGATTTATTTGCACCGCTGAATAGAGCAGAGAATTCTGGAAATTTTAGCGCAAGTTTGACCGTGGAAACTCAAAAATTCAGGGCGCTATGACGTCCTAAAGTTTTAGGACAAAATTCTCCAGTTTTAAGTTATTTTTTTCAGTGAATCGAGGCAGAGGATTCTGACATCAACGCCGAAAAAGAGCAGCTAGCGTCCTCTGTGGTGCTGAAAAAAATGGTTTTTTAGCGAATAAACTACCGAACAAACTATAATTAAATTAATGCTTGAAGTGAAAACTTCTTTGATTTTTCTTCTCTAATGACTGAATATTCCGTAGAAGTTATGTCAAGGAATGAAGGTTGCTGGTTTAGTGGTTTATCTTCAAAATTGGACGTATTTCTGCCAAACGGAACTATGTGCATTAAGACATAAGCCCTTAGACCCATGAGATTATATGCATAACAAGGCTAACGTCATAATGCACATAGTTCTGTTAGGCAGAAATACGTCCAATTATAAAAGAGGTGTGAAAATATTGATACGCCGCGATGGAGTTTTGTAGAGTTTTGAGATAGACGATAATCGGGGCGGCGTTTCTAAGCCGATTGTACTCCTTTGACGTGCCGCATCTGAGCAATGAGTGCGAGAGAGAGAAAGGACAAAACAGCGTATGGACCAATCCAAGTTGAGCCCTGGTCCCCGTTTACGGCCGTTCTTTCCAGGGCTCATGGTCGGAAAGCACTCCGGTGCTTTTTCGGGGCAACCGGATTCGGGATCGGCACTACCACCGCGGACCAAATTCCCAGGCCCAGCCTGTATTTTTGCGAGTGTGTGTGTGTCCCTTTGACGAGCCGCGGGTTGCCGCATCTGATCAATGAGTGGGAGAGAGATAGACGATAAACGGGGCGGCGTTTCAAAGCCGAGTGTGCTCCTTTGACGTGCCGCATCTGAGCAATGAGTGCGAGAGAGAGAAAGGAGAAAACAGCGTATGGACCAATCCAAGTTGAGCCCTGGTCCCCGTTTACGGCCGTTCTTTCCAGGGCTCATGGTCGGAAAGCACTCCGGTGCTTTTTCGGGGCAACCGGATTCGGGATCGGCACTACCACCGCGGACCAAATTACGAGGCCCAGCCTGTATTTTTGCGAGTGTGTGTGTGTCCCTTTGACGAGCCGCGGGTTGCCGCATCTGATCAATGAGTGGGAGAGAGATAGACGATAATCGGGGCGGCGTTTCAAAGCCGAGTGTGCTCCTTTGACGTGCCGCATCTGAGCAATGAGTGCGAGAGAGAGAAAGGAGAAACAGCGTATGGACCAATCCAAGTTGAGCCCTGGTCCCCGTTTACGGCCGTTCATTCCAGGACTCATGGTCGGAAAGCACTCCGGTGCTTTTTCGGGGCAACCGGATTCGGGATCGGCACTACCACCGCGGACCAAATTACGAGGCCAAGCCTGTATTTTTGCGAGTGTGTGTGCAAGCCAGGTGTCCCTTTGACGAGGCTCGGGTTGCCGCATCTGATCAATGAGTGGGAGAGAGATAGACGACAATCGGGGCGGCGTTTCAAAGCCGAGTGTGCTCCTTTGACGTGCCGCATCTGAGCAATGAGTGCGAGAGAGAGAAAGGAGAAAACAGCGTATGGAGCAATCCAAGTTGAGCCCTGGTCCCCGTTTACGGCCGTTCTTTCCAGGGCTCATGGTCGGAAAGCATTCCGGTGCTTTTTCGGGGCAACCGGATTCGGGATCGGCACTACCACCGCGGACCAAATTACGAGGCCCAGCCTGTATTTTTGCGAGTGTGTGTGCACGCCAGGTGTCCCTTTGACGAGGCGCGGGTTGCCGCATCTGATCAATGAGTGGGGGAGAGATATAGACGATAATCGGGGCGGCGTTTCAAAGCCGAGTGTGCTCTTTTGACGTGCCGCATCTGAGCAATGAGTGCGAGAGAGAAAAAGGACAAAACAGCGTATGGACCAATCCAAGTTGAGCCCTGGTCCCCGTTTACGGCCGTTCTTTCCAGGGCTCATGGTCGGAAAGCACTCCGGTGCTTTTTCGGGGCAACCGGATTCGGGATCGGCACTAGCACCGCGGACCAAATTACGAGGCCCAGCCTGTACTTTTGCGAGTGTGTGTGCACGCCAGGTGTCCCTTTGACGAGGCGCGGGTTGCCGCATCTGATCAATGAGTGGGAGAGAGATAGACGATAATCGGGGCGGCGTTTCAAAGCCGAGTGTGCTCTTTTGACGTGCCGCATCTGAGCAATGAGTGCGAGAGAGAGAAAGGACAAAACAGCGTATGGACCAATCCAAGTTGAGCCCTGGTCCCCGTTTACGGCCGTTCTTACCAGGGCTCATGGTCGATAAGCACTCCGGTGCTTTTTCGGGGCAACCGGATTCGGGATCGGCACTACCACCGCGGACCTAATTACGAGGCCCAGCCTGTATTTTTGCGAGTGTGTGTGTGTCCCTTTGACGAGCCGCGGGTTGC